CAGAACACAACTTGCTATGAAGAACAGGTCATAACTTTCAAACCGTACGTCGGAATTGGACGAATTACATATGAAAATCGGCTATCTCGACGAGACGGGGCCATCCGAACCAAGCCGAAGGCTTCGGTTCGCTTCCTCCGTTTCACCAAATTCCTTACGGTTTGAGAGATATCTGCATTCTAATATGAAGAGACCGTCAATTTGTAGTCTCTTTTGCCAGAGTTTTGCACAGATCATCCTCTTGTAATCTTTGTCTTGGCTCCTTGAAAATATGAGAATCGTCAGATTGTAACTCCCGATGTTGATTGTGAAGGCTGTTGAATTGGGGCTTTCATCAGTTGTCGTGAAGGTCGTCAGATCGTAGCCTTCCACGTGAAAGTCCTCAAATTGTAGCCTTCTGGAAGTCGTCAGATTGTAACTTCCATCATCGGTGTTTGATAGGGGATCAACTATCTATTGTGATTTTTAGACAGCCTACAAAACTGGTCCAGCTCTTTTCCTCAAGATTTACCACTTCTTTTACAGGTTTAGCATTTGGAAGAGGAGGGAAATCAGAATCAATGCATACATCCTTTTCAGCTAATTTCCCAGCAGAATTTAAAGTAACAGTTGAATCTAAAACAGGAGAATTTGAGAAAAACTGATCTTCTGAATCGATCTCAAGAATTTCATCATCAGCCCAAGAAGATCTACTGGATTTATTCAGATCATCACGAGATGAAGAAGACTTACAGAGATTGTGAGATCTATATCCAATCGATTGAGGATCCATCTGAACTTCAAGATTTGGATCTCTGAGAATCTCTTCCATGGATTTCTTCATTCTTTCCCCTTTAGGACCAGTCGATCCCATAGCTTCCGATTCAAGAACTTCACCATTTCCCACAAATTTCGCTTTAGATCTGGTCTCCTTGGATTGTAAACAGGGAGTTGCTCTCAATCCGATGCTAAGAATTTGATTTCCGCTGATCTTCTTCTTCCTAACCATCAAGATCTAGGCGGGGGCGCAATTTAGCAGAGGAATCGCCTGCTATTTTGCGCCATGAAGACCGCCAAAAAGTTTTTTTGAAAACACCCCTTTTTAATGAAGAGAATTTGATTAGTCAGTAAGAGAATATACATGAATCCTTTAATTATAGATTCATTTTCTCAGTAAAATTCATATTAAATGCATTATTTGTGGGTTTAGAAGAGGAGATGTCATAAATACTTTATTAGCTAGGATTCAATTATTGTATTGCAAATAGTTTTTTTACAAAAATATTAAGATACATCAAAACTAATCTAAAAACCCAGAAGCACATCAAAAGAATGAGGATTAACACTACTCCTGATCAGATTGTAAAACATTGTGTAAAAATGTGGTGATGTTAGTTCTCTTGTTTTGATGATGATTTATAAACATCATTATTTGTGCTAATTGCTTGATTGAGTGATATTGTTTAGATTGTATTTTGCCAAGCAAGATCATTGCACATTTATTGTTTTATTACCCTATTCACCCTCTCTAGGGTAATTTTAGGTGAGTCTTCGAGCAATACCACAAAATCATTAATTTCCTTAGCTCTTCAGACCAACATATGAGTTGTTATATTCTCCATTGATGAACTATCTAAAAATCTCATTCCTCAAGTCATGTGCAACATCGTTGAATATCATCCACAAAGTGTCCAAAAATCGAGGAGCAGCACCCCATTACAGATATCTCTAATTACCACATCCTCATCTTCTTTAGGAATTATCTTTCCTCATCCAACGTAAAGAGCAAATATAATAGCTTCCCACACTGCTTAGAATTCTGCATGTTTAGAATTACCTTGTATCCAAATACATGATAAGTATATCGCAATAGTTAGTAATATATATTATGATAATTTATTGCTATTTCTAGACTACACCAAGAGGATAACATTTATATTGGTATTCCTCTCCATGGATTTTTTACACATCAGATGCACATATCAATATATTATAGTATTGGATTAGATGTTAGATGTTTAATTAAATATTTAATTTTTATAAATTATGGTATAATTTATAAATATAAGTTATGATATTATTATCTTATATATTATAATTGTATATTTATTGTGTAATATCTAATATCTAAAGTGAAATATTTATCTTATTAAACATAACACTAATATTGGTAAAATTTATAATATATGAGTTCTTATGTTTAGTGCAAGAATAATTATAGTGTAAGAAATATAATGAATTGAATAAAATTTATGATTATAATTTATAATATATATTTAATTCTTAGTATTAGTTCTCATATTTATTTTAAGAATAATTATAGTGTAATAAATAGAATGAATTGAATAAATTTCAAGGCATTATTGTGAATTATCAAATTTTGAAAGGGTAAAGGAGGCAATCAAAAGTTTTAACACTCCAATCCTCTTTTATATGTAGTATAGATATAGATTTAAAGTATTAGCGTAAAATTCACATACAACCAAAAAACTTGGCCAATTTGGGAGAGTAAACCAAAAGTTCTTTAAAATATCACGTAACATCCAAAAAGAAAAAAAAAGGTGATGTAACCCCCAACATGATACAGGTTTTTGTTGTTATATGAAACTATAAAAAGTATTTAATGTGATTTCAAAATGTCAAATTTAGGGAGATTATGCGAAATTCACCCTTCTTTTCGTTAAAAAAGAATCTAAAAATATACTTATGAAAGTTTCCGTTTGTGTTAGGTTTGTTATATACATGTATATATCATTTACAAAATTGAGAATTCACATTCTTTAAAGAAATGTTAAATATATAAAACTAGTTTCAGATCCGTGCGATACATGATTTTATTTAGTATTGAGGTTATTAAAATTTTTAAAATAAAAAGTGTTGCTAAATTTTAAAATTTTATGTTACAAAAAGAAAAAAAATGAAATCACAGATATCCATAATTCAATAAAAGAAACATATCATTGAATTAATAGTGCATTATGGTGCAAGTTTTACATGTTTTCGTTTTTCACTCGTGTGTTGCATATATACGATGTCGTCATAATCGTAATACTATAAAATCAGTGTTGAAAATAACGCGTTTCGTAACGCAAAATAACGCTTAACGTAACGTAACGTTAGCTTAACGTTACGTAACGTTTGAAAATAACGCAAAGACAAAATAACGTAGGTTATTTTAGCTATAACGTAAGTTACGTAACGTAACGGCGTAACGTTTTATAACTTAGGTTATTTTGTCAATGGCTTAGATTGCTTTTAAAAGAAATGAACGGCTGTGATTGAGTTATAACTTAGGTTATTTTCCACCTCCCCTTCCCCTTTTCACGCCTTTTTCATGCCGCCCGCAGCTCCGCCTCCCCTTCCCCTTTTCACGCCCTTTTCACGCCGCCTTTTTCACGCCGCCCGCAGTTCCGCCTCCCCTTCCCATTTTCACTCCTTTTTCATGGATTCCAACCCAACCTAATAATTTCATACTTCATAGTTTATGGATCATTGGATCCTTTTTGGTTTCGAACTTGAAGTATTTTATGCTTTTGGATTGATTGTTAAGGCAAACATGGTTGATTTGGTGTGAAATTGTGATGATATATTGATTTGTGAAATTGAAAATTACGATGATTATTCATATTTTTTATTTTGAATGTTATATATCTATAAATTATTTAAATAATAATAAATTATTTAACCTACGTTACGCTATGCGTTATCGCTATTGTAACCTAACCGGAGGTAAACGTTACGCTATACGTTATCGCTATTTTCAACATTGTATAAAATTATGATTTACGCAATTGTTCTTTTGCTTCAACTCTAGAAGTTGTAATATATAAATTAAAAATACCACTATTTAATGTTTAGGGAACCAGTTTTATAGGGGGAAAATGTTTAGGAAACCAGTAAAATAATAATATTGTAGCAGTCTTCGAATCAAATTTCTCAGATGGTTCGAATCAAATTTCTTGGATGAGATACATTGATTGCAAATACTCAATACAAGCACATATGACAACAAATAAATTGGGATAAAAGTGCATTTGATGTTAAATTTACCATTCAATTGGCGTTCAAGAATAAAATCAAACCATAAGAGTATACAATAAGTGATATCAACATTAATAATAATTTAAATAAACCACATTCATAGAAACATATGGCATCCACGTTTCAAACTATATAGATACTCTAAATAAACATTATAGAGAACAAATCCACAAAAGTAAGATGCATGAATGCTTAACAAAAATATCAAACCATTTGAGAAACAAATGATAACCAGACACATTTGGTTTATATGACATAGAGCAAATCAAATCTTAGATAGCTTTTCCTTTGCCAAACAATCAATACAATTTAAACTCATGTCTTAGATAATGGAGATAGCAAAAATAATCTCATCAACTACGCTGGAAAGATCAAAAGGTAGATTGAGATCCCAAATTTGAAGTGGTGAAATGAAAATAAAGATGATTACNTTTTTCTCAACTTAGTCCTTGTACATCCACTGCTAAAAAATTAGGCATCCTAGACGGAAAATTCCGTCTAGGATACCCAGAATTCCGTCTAGAATGCTTATTCTAGACGGAATTCCGTCTAGAATACGGGTCTAGTATGTTTCCGTCTAGGATACAGTATTCTAGACGGAAATTCCGTCTAGAATACATCCTAGACGGAATTAAAAACCGTCTAGAATACATCCTAGACGGATTATTCTAGACGGAATTTCCGTCTAGAATACTGTATCCTAGACGGAAAAAATTTCCGTCTAGAATGAGTATTCTAGACGGAAATTTCCGTCTAGAATACTCATTCTAGATGGAAATTGATGTTTTTTAATTTTTTTAATTTTTTTTTTAAAAAAGGCATCCTAGACGGAATTTTAGTATCCTAGACGGAATTTCCGTCTAGGATACTTTGCTACAGTAGTTTTTTTTTTTTTGCAGAATCTACTTGGGATGCATGTACATAATATTAAACAAAAAGAAATTATATTCATATCCAACACAATATAATTATATTCCAATATCAAATCTCGTTATATTCAAATAATACATTCACCAAAATACTAGAAAAAAAAATTGTTTACAAACTTTTACATCAATTATTTACACGAATTCACATAGGATTTTCCCTTCGCAATCAACTCATCATCATCACCACTCTTCTTATTAAGCCCAAGCCTATTCTTCCTTGCCTCTTCCTCTTCAACATCTTCCTCGCCTTTGTCAGAATGATCGCATGTATCTTCGCTTTTCACCTTCTTGAAACGATTCCCTTCAGCCCCACCATCATGCATGCCTTTACCATCGATATTATCATTCAAAAACAAAGATATATTATCATTCAAAATCAAAGATAAATAAATCTGTGCATTTTTGCCAAGACTTCTCACAACGGCAACTTTTAGGTGCCAGGAACCACATGCCTTAAAATTTGTGATGCCACTCATGTCAAAGGAAGATGAACAATCCGATTATTGTAGGACATGTGAATCATCATGATTAACTGACATTTTAATAAAACAGATGCATGCCAGCAAAACAAAAAAAAAGTACTCAATAGAAGCATCTCGTTTAGAATTAGTATGAAATGTGAGCAATAACGTTAAATACACAACCCAACCAAAAGCTTACAGGTCTAAGCAATGGATATATCAGCACCTTGATGTCCTGAAAAAACAGGTGCTATTTATATACAACATTCTTTTGCATGCACTTCATGTATATATACAAAAGATATTTGAGAAGAGGATTCAGAATTTTACTCACCTTGGCAAGCTGCAAGGCATTGTCATTTGCATACTGTAATGAACTTTCTCGTATGCTTTGGATGCCTTGACTGAGCTCCCAAGATATAAATCTAGGTTTAAAATGAACAGTCAGTTGAGAACAACAAATTCAATGCCAAAGCCAACTTGAACTGTGAACAAACTGAAATTTCATTTTCATTTTCCTCTTACTCTTTTAAGAGAACAACACATTAGTTTCTCATCACAATATATATGTTTCTAACTGTTTAACAAATACATATTCAACTAGAAGAGCTTTTACCTGATGAGTTGAAATGAAGAAAATGTCTGGATCATCATAAAATGCATCACATGTACCATTCCCATGATGAACATCAAAATCAATTATAAGAACCCGCTTCAATCCATGTACACGTTGAGCATGCCGAGCTGCAATAGCTATGTTTCCAAAAACTCTGCATACAGTTCTTTCAATTTGCAACATATAATAATCACCTTATTAAGTTGCAATATATATTCATACAAGCTTTAGAGATCAAAGCTCATTATGTTCTGAAATTAAGTACCCATAAGGTTATTGATTTTATGAGCTTAATTAAACTCAACGAGAATAAGGATAATGCTTGATCAAGCGCATTATGTTCTGAAATTAAGTAACATATAAAACCTGATCCACAATGAATGTGTATATGATTTTTATATTTGTGTCTTCCTAGATTAACTATAATATAAAAGTGGTATAGAAATATTCTTCATATGCTTGGTGATTAATTAATATTACTCAAGAATCATTTTCAATATTGGACTTATAGATGCAGCTATAACTTCCACCCCCTTTATCTATTTATATTATTATTAGTATTAATGAAGCTTGTCTAATATTTTAAACTTACATTCTTTGATGCAGCACTGAATGCTTCTCTAACAAGGGAGAAGTAGTTAAGTATGAAAGAGCATCGCCTAGATAGGCTTGGGCATTAATAGTTCGAGCAGTCATTTTACCAGACAATCCACAAATGAAACATGCCTCAACAGCTTCATTCTAGCATTCTCAAATCCTGGCACATCACACAAGGGACCGTCTTCTTTTCCTCTTCCATAAGCCCTGCATGCATGTGAATCTCATCAAACAGCGAAAGATAAATACAGACAAAAATCGGAACTTGTCCCATCAACAATATCATACTTGTAACACATTGGTCGAGGACATCTATGAAGTTCACATTTATAAATCTTTGCATTAACGGAAGATTTAAAAATAAAAAATGCCTAAAAGGCTCTTATTGGCTACCAAAACGTAACATAAATATTCAATGCAAAACATTCAACATATGAAACTTCAAACTTGTACAGACAACCATCGCAAAGAGGCCCCTTCGTAACTATGTAAAAGATCAGTATTGGGAAGAATGCAAGATATATGTGTGCGCGTGCGCGCGTGTGTGCGTGCATGCGTGCACGTATACGTGTGCGTACATGCGTGCATGTGTTCGTATAACTGTCAATTTGATTTTTAAAACTGAAAATGCTAATCTCTAGTCTGACAATGACCATTTGATGAATCTGATAATTTGGTATAACTGACACAATAGTACCTGACACATTAGCACACACATCAACCATCAAACTTCAAGAATCATCATGCCACTTTTCTGCATACTTCTGCATATTTAAACCCCCAAAAAACAGAGACATTTGTGCCATGTAAACCTTCTAATGATGAGGTACACATTCCTTTTAAGTTTAACCAAAATTCTGGGAACACAAGAAACAAATGTAGAAGCTATGAAACAAGAAATAATAGTGTTCCCGAGCCACATGAACAAGGCCATTATTAAAATGGCAAAGTTTTTTGCGTGCCACACTAAGAAGATAACTCAATGCACCATTGATCCACACTGTCAAGGAGTTCTTTGTTTTAATTCATACCATATAGATTTCTGTCAAAAAAGTCATACCATATAGATTAAAATGCCGCATCTGCAAAGCAGCCCTTATATTCTTCTATCTCCATCTAAGTTGTCATCTTGGAGAAATCCTCTGATCTTAACTCATGACAAATATTCTCATGCCCTATTAATTCATAAGTCTAAGGTCCGCTAAATGAATATCATTTATCCCTATTTGCGTCACTGGCCTAACAAGTTTGATTTCTTCACAAATTCCAATTGCAGTTTAATTCATTTAGATATATTTTCATTTATTCCTCTTTACAAATTACTGCATTGTAGGAATTTTGTGTATTTTCATTAGTAAATATGAAAATAAAAATCATGAAAGAATTAAAAAAAAAGGACTAAAACGTACCAATATTAATAGTAGCCTGACGAGAAATCACCTCCGGCGACAACGGGGTCAGCGTGTTCACGTCCAGCTTACTAAGGTCTTGCTCCATTAATCCTTTTCGAGAAATTTTCGCTTGATTTTATATCCTCTCGAGTCCTAATCAAGAAGAAGAAAACAAAAGAAAAACCCAAAACATTGATTAGATCAAACAGGGAGCTGGATTCGAGTTTGCGAGCACCGCCATCGTGTTGACGGTGGAGACTTTCACCGGAAGTGAGGCGGAGAGGGCATTTTGGAGATTTTGCATGGCGGGAAGGAGCTGGGAGGAGAGGGAGGGGTCGTTGGATTCTAAAACCTCGTTGCCGACGGTTGGGGATGTCTCCGTTGGCGGCGCCGATGACGACGAAGATGTTGGTGCCGGCGAGGGATTTGAGGATGGCGGGGTCGGCGCCGTAGAGGCGGAGCTTTGAGATCGAGGTCGAGAGGAGGAGCGTCGCGGTCGCCTCCGGTGGCGGGAGATTGTCGGCGACCTGGCCTTGGAGGGAGAGGGAGGGGCTGGGGTGTGAGAATGAGGATTTGGGGGGATGAGGCTGATTTTGGGGTAAAAATTTTCATTTGGGGGGGAAAGGAGCGCGGTTAATTTTTTGACGGGTTAATTTTTTTTAAACTGGTCAGTTATTCTAGACGGAAATTTCCGTCTAGAATGAATATCCTAGACGGAAATTTCCGTCTAGAATACATGGTTATTAAAAAAAACCGTCTAGAATAGTATTCTAGACGGAATTTTCCGTCTAGAATGTTTTATTCTAGACGGAATATTCTAGACGGAATATTTCCGTCTAGTTTAATACATTCTAGACGGAAAAAATTCCGTCTAGAATATTCCGTCTAGAATACGTGATTTTCTACTAGTGGAACTATCTAAAATTGGACAACGTCAAAAGAGCTAGAAGTAAAAAAGAAAACATGAAAATGAAAAACAAAATACTACATAGAAACACTAATCCTCTTCACTCGCCAAAAAACCACAATACAATTCATGCACAATAACAAATAAACTTTAAACTTCATAATATAAATGATGTTACATAATTTTGCAATAGTTTATACTTATTTTGGTACTATATTTTTAGACTTGCATTGGAAATAATCTTTTTTACATAACAAAATCAATCGAATTCTTACTTGTAAGCTCAAAGTTTAAAAACATAAAAGGGAGGAAAATATCCCATAACTGAGTTGACCTACTAGTTAAAGTTGCATTATAATCATATACTGATCCGAATCTTGCTCTATTTTGGTTCTTTATGTCTCATCCCGTCATTACTTGAAATATTTGGACAAAAAATCAAAAAATTTAGCTTAAAGTACATACCTTTTCTACAAATTCCTCCTCCTTTCGCTATAAAAAAACCTTCTCCTTTCCTTCAAAATCCTAAAATTTCTTGAAAATTCAGAACAAACCATCTTATAACACCAACTAAAGAATAAAAGATTAAAAGAAAAAAATGCTTCTTGTTATAATATTAGGACAATTATGGATATAAAATTTCGATGACCACATAAGTTTGCTTATTAGATAGTATAGTTAATGTACGGAAAAGAAAAGGACTGTAAAATGAACCTGTAGATATGCCCTTGGTTAGAATGCTTATAGCAAATAGAGTTGCATTAAAATAGTTTTTTTTTGAAAAAAAAAGCTAGATATAGATCAAAAGAATCCTTAATCAATTATCATTCTCAAAAAAATTCAAAAAATGCTAATTACTCTTATTGAGAAATATAATTTTCTTGATTAATATATAAGAATAAAAAGAATAAAAGACTATAACATACCTGCTCATGTGAAATGGGAGTGTAAAGGCAATTGAATGTGAAACTCTCCTTACCAAATTTAAATGTTCAATTAAAATTGTGCACAAACATTAGAGGAAATTAGTACGATTAGAAATCTATTAAAACCTTAGGAAAGATATGTAGAAAACTACATAAAAGAGAAATCAAATTCTAAAATCTTTTTTTTGGGGGTGGGGGTGGGGGTGAGGGGAGGGGTCCATAACTCAGCACATTTCAACTAAAATTTCTCTTAAGCAATCAATGAGTTTTAATTTTTCACTTAAAAGTAGTAGAAACTTGTTACATAAGAACAATTTCTTCTTTTCAGAGAGCATCATGTTCTCTTCAAAAATCATAAAAAAAATATATTCCCCGGACCTTTCCCCTACAAAATTAACTCTTAACTCTAATAATATCTATACAAACGATGCGGGAAAAAAAATTATATAGCCCCCCCATCCATTTTCCATTTAAACATGCAAAAATCACACGATCAAAACTATTATCCAAAACTATCCAATTATCAGAAAGCCATGATTTCTTCATGAAGGATACATCAGGTTGGAGTTTAGAGAGTGAATGTTTCAAGAAGTATGAACATCATGTTTTTTGAGAGAAACTCGGTCATATATCATAATTTAGTCCCCTACCGCCTCTAGGAGAACGTCGCGTGCAAAGTCTAAGCTAACATCAATGGTAAAGGTGAGCTATGCAAATGTAATAACAACCCAACAATCAAAATTGGAAACAAATTTTATCAGAAGTCTGTATCAAAAGAATATCTCAAGCCTTAAAAGAATCCATATAATTATTCATTCAACATTCTCAATTATCCTCATTCAGGAGGTAGCTCAAATGTAGCATAATCCACATCTACAAAGAAAAAAGGCCAGTTACTAGAAACAGAGCGGGCAAAGGTCAAAAAGTATCAGATTCAACCACCTCAAATAACAAAACTGATAGAATCCTAATCCAAAAAGAAACTTTGAATCAAACCCATGTGAACTCCCATCGAATATATCCGAAGAAGTCTGAAATTGAGGTCGAACAAATTCAAGAATTTGATATTCTCTCTTTAGGTTAATAGCAACTGGAGAGTTTCTAAGAAACATTGATATGGCTGATGAGTTTTGTAATAATTTAAAGTTTAATATGTGATTTTTCTCCTTGCGTTCATATCCTTAAATTGCAAGCACACTCTTTGTTTAAAAATATTCGTAAAAATGAGTGATAATTGTTGAGATTGTGTCTTTGATTCTTTGTAGAAATTCATGAGAATTAGACAGGGTTAGAGATTTATCATGATTAGAAGTTTGGGTTCCATCAT